TCGGCTGAATATGGTTTTAGGCGAGAGAAGCTTTAAATCTGGTTGGGACAACTTCAACAGGAAGGTGCTCGTACCTCTTCGCTCTGACAATGTAAACGGATTCGAGGTTTTGATGTATCGCTCTTTCCTTTGAGCCGACTTCCTTTTCGCCGATTCGTATCTGGCCCGGCCGTTTTTGTCAAAATAACTCGGTAACTTTTATATTCAGGACCAAGCTTTCAGCTTGATTATACGGGCCGAAGCTTTTATATAAAGGACAAAATCGAAAAAAACGGTATCTGGCTGTTCTCCGTCTACTTCCAATCGACTTTTTTCACATTCGCAATGGCAAGATTCATCTGGTTCACTTTCCTTGTATGTAATGTATGTATTTAGTCATCATATGAAGTAAACCAAGAAAAGTTTGTTTTAACCCCTTGTTCATATTCAAAAATCGAAAGTTGTAATTCGGCTTTTAGTGACTGGGAGTTTTGAGGCCCTGTCAAGGGCCGGTGTTGTGTTGAGAGATGCCGTGAGGAAGGTATAGGGCCGAGACTGTGTGAGTGGCGCCGTTGGTTGTAGTGTGAAACAGAGTAAACCGTTGGCTGAGGTCCGGGGGCCGTGAGTGGATTGACTCCACAGAGGCCGAAGGTACTGGAGTGCAGCATTTTGCCGAGGGGTAGCAGTTGGTGTTTACAGCCAAGTCGGCTGTTTAGAAGGCGTGAATCAGCAGGTAGGCCGTCCACTGGAGCCGTGCAACGGCCGAATGGGGCCAGATGATCCAAAAGCGAAGAAAGAAAGAGCACGCGTCCATTAGAACCAATTCGTTCGGTCGTGTTGGGCCGTGTACGGCCGAAGCACTTTCCGATCCAAATAAAGTTGGATTTTCCAGGCCGAATGGTTACTTCGAATTCAACAGTCAACCACGTGACATCAAACGCTCACCATTGTTTAACGCCGTTCTTTGCTTTTGGCTTACCTTTTCGTTTCGTTTTCATTTCGATGGATTGCGAAAAATTGATAAGTGCGGTTGAGGAGCAGGCTCTTGGGACATGCGTGATCCACTCTATCATCGGAGAGACGTCCAGCGTAAGCTGTGGTCAAGGATAGCTTTAGAAATGGAACTTCCAATATTTTTGTTTATTTCTTTCATTTCATTTGTATGTAAACTAAGAAATTTCGAGCAGCAAATCTCCTACATCCATTTGGGCTGTATCGTGAACTGACGAAAATCGGCTACAGTGGACGACGGCGTTCGGCTATATGCCGGTCGTCCGTTTGGTGAAATAGTTCGGTTCCAATGGACGAGCAGCCTAATGCTGCGAGTACTCTTGCTGTCGTCGACAGTGTTTCATTATGGATAGCTCGTCGGGTTGACGAGTCTGCTGTCGTTGATTAGTGATGAGTGAGATCTCGTCGGGCTGACGAGTCTGGTGTCGTTGATTATTAGTGATGGCAATCTCATTCCAGCGGGGCAATGCCCCTGCTTATATAGGACAGAGCTCTACTCTGATTGGCTGCAGAGTGAAGGGCGAGAACATTTCATAAGTGGTAGTGGCATCTAGCGGTAACGTGGAGTAACTACAAGTGGCCACTACAGGCCTTTGGTCGTTTTCTATCATTTTGGTCTGCTACCTACGCTGTCTTGGTGTGTCGGACGAGTTTAAGCATCTTCAGTTGTTTGTTAGTTTTGACCAAAACTAGCGATCAGAAACGACCAAACTATAGAAGTATTTATTGTTTTAAAACTAAAAACCTACGAGTTCTTATCATCGTTTAGACGAGGTAGGGTAGGTTCTTTAATTCATGCTTACCACAGCACAACACAACCAAACAAAAGGACTCCAACAAGTATGCTCCAATGTCAGAACTGAAGTCGTACGACTAAGTTGTCTATAGTCGACAGTCATAGGTAGTCGGTTCCATGGAAGAAATGAAGTTAGTGCAAATTGGTCAAACTGATTTGTAGAGCTTGTAGAACTGTCTTGTAGAGCTTCTAGACATTCCGAATGACAAAATTAACTGAAAGTGTGCTTACTTTTTTGGCGGGTTTGATGCATATGGCTAATGTTTATTATCTGATTGGATCCCAAAAATATAATTACATAATTTTATATATTGTATTGTATACTTTTTTGACGAGGGTATTTCAACTGCGAGGTTATTTGAACCCTCAGGGTGCCGATGTTTTTGAAAAAAAGCACATTTGAAGTATGTAGGGTTCGAATCCAGGGCCGCTGGATTCGAACCCGGGACCTTTACCTTACAGTGATGAGCGCCGTGCAACGCCTAAACGCCCTCAAGTATGCTTTAAGGTAAAACATTGGAGATGCCCATATGTTCATTTGTTGTAAAGATGGCTTGCGTGAGCCTTTGGAATGTAAATATCAGGACTATTTCTAACCTTAATAATGGCTGTGTATATTTGCTGGATCGAGATTTTCTTTGTCCGTGAACAATGAAAACCTGAAAAACCCCTAAGTAGACCTTTAACGTAACGTATAATGTAATTTGTTCTGAGATTTTCTCTAGTGAAAGACTTTCGTAAATTGTCTTCACTGATTGAAAAGGATTTCGAGCATTTTTCAACGAGAGAGTTGATTATTTACCTCAATTATTTCTATAGGATATCTTATGGCTCTCCCAATATTTTGATAGCTACAGATTCAGAAGTGTTCAGCAAACAGATCTGCAATCTACTTGATTCTTTCGAGCTGTTGTACTTTTAGATTTCCTTTACGAAGCTTTTTTCCTTTCTCTGTTCTGGGGTGTATAAATAAGTATAATTCGTTAATCCATTCGCTGACTGCTTACATTTTTTGATAATTTTAAATTTTACAAAAAGACGAGGTCCAGATGAGGAACCATTTTATCTTGTTTATCGATCTCTTGTTCTGCGACAGTTCTGCAAGCTGAGAAAAGAGTCAGTTATTTTATTAGGTATTTTTCGGCATTTTATTAATGACGCAACCTTCAAGAAAAGATCATGTTGTTATCGCCCTTCACAAAGAAATAGTCAAAATTTTGTAACTAAAATGTTTGTAAATGTTTATTGTGAATAATGGTTTGCTAATAAACTATTATTCAAAACAAATATTTAATTTGTTGTGAAGAAACCTTAGCATAATTCAACGAAACGATTGAATAAAATGTTTGTGAATAACTTTTCATGTACCGTATGCTGATGGTTATATCTCAAAATTGTACTCTTGGAAGGGTACAAGACACCAATTTTTTCAACCTTTACGTTAGGTTTATTTCAACCTAAATATTCATCATTAGTGTGTAGTATTTAGTGAAAGTTGATTAATGATTATTTGGAGATCGTCAGATGTGATCTTGTATGATGTAGGGTTTAGAAACAATTTTTTATTGTGGTAACGTTTCGATTTTTATTTAGGTCATCTTCAGGGCTCAAAGTGTGTGTTTTCTTGTAGACGTGTTACAGTTGTGCAACGTGTTGCAGGTGTGCACAGAAAACACACACTTCTAGCCCTGAAGATGATCTCAATAAATATCGAAACGTTGGCACAATGTTTTTCTAAACTACGTCACACCAGATCGCATCTCATGATCTCCAAATAACAATTTATAATGTTGAGTCCACGGTGGGATAGAAAATGTTTTCTAATGATGAATTATTTGGAGATCGTGAGATGCGGTCTTGTGTGATGTAGGTTTTAGAAAAAAATTCTTTATTATGCCAACGTTTCGATCTTTATTTAGATCATCTTCAGTGCTCAAAGTTTTTGTTTTCTGTGTAGATGCGTCATTATTGTGTGTTCTGGACACTGAGAAGGCACTCTCATTAAGACACACAAGAACGACACAATAACGCAGAAAACAAACACTTTGAGCCCTGAAGATGATCTCAATAAAGATCGAAACGTTGGCACGATAAAGCAAGTGTTTTTCTAAACCTACGTCACACCAGACCGCATCTCACGATCTCCAAATAATCGTCAACTAACGGTCACTAAACACCACACATTATGAATTGTTTTATGCTCCTATTACTCCAGCCTTGATAGTGGCTGTCACATTTGCTAGATAAAGTTTCTATTCGCTCCAGTGTAAGTCGTAAACTTTCTTATTATTAGGTCTTCACATAAACAAATAATATGCTTTTTCTTCTGTTTTTCCTGTGCAGTGAGTTTTTAGGCGTTAATGGTTAGGTGAGACAATTTTGTTACAGTTGCCCGCCTGTGCCCTGAAGTGACAGATATAAGTATCATAGATGTAAAACTATGTTTACTTTTAAAGTATTGAGTTCATATTCGTCATGCTGTGTATACAGGTGAGGAAAATTGTTGACATTTTTTGTTCTGAAGTGACTTAATCGAACCGTGTTAACAACAACAGCATAACAACGGGGGCTTCGGTGGCCGCAACGGTTTAGTCGTTGACACGGCACTCATCACGGTAAGGTGAAAGTCCCGGGTTCGAATCCAGCAGCCCTGCATTCGAACCCGACATATTTACAAATGGGCTTTTTTTTTTTCAAAAACACCGGCACCCTGAGGGTTTATATGACCTCTCATGGGGTCTCATGCTGTGAACCCTCGTAAAAAAAATAATAAATAACAACAGCATAACATGACGATAGACGAAAAAAATTAATGTCTTGAAACGTCTCTTCTTTCGGATTTCGGTTTATCGATTGTTTCCGAGTTCCACCTTAAGGGATTTAAATCATTGAAAAGTTGCGGAAGAAAAGAGAAACTATAAATTAAAGCCTTGAAGAATGAGAAGGGGGCTTCGTCAGGGAGGGAGTTCAAACAAGTGGCATCCATCAAGAATCGTCGATAAATAACAAACGTTTTAAGCAGTCTATTAATCTTATTCGAAGATAACTCTCTTAAATTGATGAAAGAAATTCAATAGAGTCGACCCTCTTTGGTGGATGAGTTGTTGAGGAAAGTAAGTCATTTTTTATTTACGCTCCCCTGCCTGTCCAGGATACGAACAAGACTCCCTACGGTATGTAATTAATATGTAATGTAATTTACAAACATGTAAACATACGTACTATATTAGCTTATTTTCAATATCCAAGAATCACCTGATAACGCGTCAGATTGCTATTTCAAGTTTGACGATCATGTAAACAAAAAACAAAAAAATTTAAAAAATTTAAAAATAGCTATTAGTAGTTTTTCGTCTTAAAGTGTCATATTAATCGAGGTACAAGATGGTCGTGGTCGACATCTGTGATATTGGAGAAAAACTCGATCTCGAAAAAGAAACAGAACCCGAAGATAACGGCAGGCACATTAACCCGCATACTTTCGGGACATTAGTAAGAGCTTAATTCTAAGGAGTCTAAGAAACGTTTATTATAAACTACTGAAAACTATAGCCGAACTTTAAAAATCTAATTAGTCCTTTAACACAGTAGGATTCTGATGTACCTCAGAAATGTCAGCCTCAATTAAATTTAAAATTTGTAACTATTTTTTATTTCTGCACTATAGGCAGAAAGTTGTAAAAAAAAGAACAGGGTGACCACAAATCAGTTTGGTACCATTTGGCGCCTATGGTCCAAAATATCCGCCACGGTTTAATTCGGATTGTTATGTTATTATTTTCAGGCGAGAATCAAACCGATTGTTTTATAACAATAACGGATTGATATGGTGTAAAAAAATTATCAGAATCATATTAATCATGTTACGACAACGCAAGACAATACACAAATCAATTTATAGTTTTATATTGAATACATTATTGTGAAAAATAAAAATTAAATGATAACAGAGAACAAAATAATGTAAAAATAGACACTAGCTCTCAGCAAGTTTAACTTTCCCTTAAGAACAGGAGCTGAACTCACAAATGGGTAGTTTTATGCATTATCAAAAATAAACAAAACCAGTTTAAAACTAATTAGTAGAAGCAGTACACACACAATTTATTTGACTATTGTTAGTTTATGTAAATAATATTATTTTATTAATGGTACTTTCAAAATATGCCATCTTTAAATTTATATGTTTAAAAAAAATTAAATTTATCTGAAGAGTAAAAAGAATTTACGTCAATTTTGATATGATGAATGAATCTTGATGCTACATTACGCGTATTATTCTTTCTACGCGATGTCTTGGTTGAGATAAAAAAGTCAGTGTCATGAGCGGGATTCGAACCCACGACCTTCAGCTACGCCGGTACTCTACCACTTGAGCTAACGTGTCTTCGATCCTCTCGGACACAACTCTCCATCTCAACCTACAACCGTTCGAATTTTCCCTCTTTTTGCGATTTTCAAAACGTAAATGTTTACTTCATGCGTTAGAAACAAATTTTATTAAAACATTTGTTCTTGTAGAGTACTTTTGACTTTTAAATTATTTTGTGTTTTATCTTCTATGTTTATTTAGTAAAAATTTTAATATAGGATTTTGAGCAAATTGGAAATATTGCAGATTTTGTGGTGCCTCCCCAAATTAGGATCCTGTGTTATCAAAGACTGTGCTGACACAAAATAAAACAGACCTCAATAAATCTGGCTGTAAAAAATTTCTTAAAATTTTAAATTGATTTTCTATTGTTTTTAATCAAAGTAATATGAAACTGAGAATAAATTTTTTATCAAAATTTATTCCCAAATATTTGACTTGATTAGAAAAGGGTATAATCGGGCAATTACAATTAAATTTATTGACGAAAAAATGTAACACTTCATTTTCATTTGTCATTTTGGTTTGAGAGACTAAAAATATTTTAGTTTTAAGTTATTTAAAAGTAAGAAATTACTATCTAACCAGTTTATCACTAACATATTTCATCGTTAATATTTTTAGTCAATCAAATCATTAATATTTTTATTCAACATCACAATTCTTGCCAGAAAAAAGTTAGCTGTATCATCTGTGAATACGTGGCGTCGGTGGCCATAACGGTTTAGGCGTTGACACGGCGCTCATCACTGTAAGGTAAAGGTCCCGGGTTCGAATCCAGCGGCCCTCCATTCGAAACCGACATACTTACAAATGGGCTTTTTTTCAAAAACACCGGCACCCCGAGGGTTGATAACCCCCTCGTTAAAAAAACATTGTTTTACCTGAAAGCATTAGGTTAAGAAAATGGTTAATGTAAATTAAACTAAATTAACATTCCCCTTTAGAACACCACTATTTATTAAGTGTGATAGCTAAAAAATGTTTGGCTTATTTTTTTAAGTGTCAACAAATATGATTTAATGAAATTATAATAGATTTGATACCAATATTTAAAAATACTTGAGATACGCAAGAACAATCCTATGACTATATTTTTATTGCCAAGAGCGTTTGATATAAAATCAAAAGCCTCAAAAAGTGAACCTTCTGCAGATTTTCATAATTGAAAATTAAAATAATATGGTGAAATTATTTTGTTATTAGAAAAAAAATCAACAATTTTTTTAAAAACATTTTGCGAAAAATTTTTTCGGTGTTAATGTAATCATCATCACTTTTGGCCCGATTTATGAAATGGAATACCAAGAGATTTCTTAAATTCAGTGGGAAACTGCCCAAGTTTAAAAGATAAAATATAATTGTGAAGTAGAGAATTTTCATGGAAGACAAAGGTGTTTTTACCTTATATTCCATTTACCATAGGTGATGATGACGATGCCAAAATCGATACTTTCTAGACTGCAGACAAGAAATTTTGAACAAATTTTATTGAACTTGCAAACTTCATATCGTAATTACATAAGCTCTTCAAAATTACATAATATTATTTAATATGTGTGGTGATTAATGACCGTTAATCGATAATTATTCAGAAATCGTGAGATGCGGTCTGGTGTGATATCGGTTTCAGAAAAACATTTTCTTTATAGTGCCAACGTTTCGATCTTTATTGAGATCATCTTCAGGGCTCAAAGTTTGTTTTCTGCGTAATTGTGCGCTGTGTTGAGAGCGCCCAGTGGTAAACCATGTTTATAACTCCCAGGCCCTGGAGACGATCTCAATAAGGTTTGGTAACTGAATTCACTATGGAAAGCGTTTCTACTTCAAATTTCAATGGAACAGTTTATTGAAGACATACAGATTACATGAGTTGTAATGAATATTATTATACAATTGAAATAAGTGAAGCTTAGAGGGAAGTACCACTGGCACTCTCAACACGACTCGCAAGAATGGCACAATTACACAGAAGACAAACACTTTGAGCACTGAAGATGATCTCAATAAAGATCGAATCGTTGGCACAACAAAGAAAATGTTTTTCTGAAACCTACATCACACCAAACCGCATCTCACAATTTCTGAATAATTATTATTTAATATTTCAAGCTAGAGGTTTATACATCCTGCAACTAAGGACTCGTTGATAATTGATTCAAACACAATAAAAAGAAATATTTTCGCATTTTTCAGGAATGGCAAAAGGTGGAAGAAGAGAAGATATTGAAGGATTCAGTTAAGCGTATGGACAGAATGAAAAACTTGCATACCAGCATGGATAGAATATGGAAGTATAACTACCTCGAAACAGAAAAAGTCTTCAACGATTTCTTGCCGATTAATACAAATGACGGGAAAAAGCCAGAATGCGCTCCACCGAAATTGGATAAGTTTCCGCTCAACCAACATTGCGAAGTCGCTAAATACAAACAATGCGTTGCAAAGCTTACAAATAAAACCTTCGAGACCAACGAATAAAATGTATAGAAATGAAAAAATAAACTACTAATAACTTAAAAGGTTTTATTTAATTATAATTGTAATCTAAACTGCTGGTGCTGTACGCCACCTAAATGAGCATTGAAGAAGAATGTTTTGTATCCTTGCCTTCGTGTTCCTGGTGGGTTATTTGCAATTGTTCGGTGAGTCAATAGTTAGACAATACTCTCATGTTTAATGTCGCACAGATAAGCCAGAAACACACTTACCCGATGCTACGCCATGCGACGCTACCCGATGCTACCCGACGCAAATCCAAACTCCGATTTTCCATAAGGTTGCATTACCCCCGTGCACATCTACCCGATGCTACCCGACGCAAATCCAAACTCCGATTTTCCATAAGGTTGCATTACCCCCGTGCACATCTACCCGATGCTATGCCACGCTAACCTACCCGACGCTCTGCGATCACCACTATCCAGATTTTCGTCGGGTCGCATCGAGTACAGTCGAAGACAAAAGAACCGGACACTCATATTTTTATTCAAACTACATGTATTATTGTCGTTATATTAATTACAACATACTTATTTTAATATAAACCAAATTAACTGTGATTAAAAATTAATTAGTTTTTATTTAAAAAATTAATTTTAATGGTTTGGTAGAAAATTAATCAAAACACCGGAATACGATTTTTTGATATAATGAATTTAACTAACAATTTATTGTACTCGCTTCGGCGGTACATATACTAAAATTGGAACAATTTATTACACGGTTTTGCTCATAAAATTTAATTAACAATTTATTTCATAGTTTTGCTCGTAAAATTACACCATTTTGTAATGTCGGGTAGCATCAGAACAGGACACTCATATTTTTTGTAGTTTATTTCAAACTAAGTACATGTAATTTTGTCGTTATATTAATTACAACATGTTATTTTAATGTAAACCAAATTAAACGAGATCAAAAATGCATAAGTTTTTATAAACATTGTTTAATTATGATGGTTAGGAGTAACTTTATTTAAAACAATTAAGTTTAACAAACAATTTATTAGATGGTTGTGCTCATAAAATTTAACTAACAATTTATTACAAGGTTTTGCTCAAGATAGTGCATTAAGAACAAAAGATGCGTTGCGATTGTGATAGTGATTATTGTGATAAACGCTGTGGACTGTACGCGACGGCGTGCTGGAGGATGGTGGAGTGATGGTATAGTCAATGTGGGCAGTAAAGTTAGATTTGGAAAATAACAATCCATAAAGAAATTTATGTCAGGCTATGTTAGGATCGTCGGGTTGACTTTTATCAAGAAAAGAAAGATTAGTGGAACATGTGCTTGGTATGATCTCGCCCAGCACGAGGGGGCGTTGTTTTGGTCGTAAAATAGCAATCCTTAGAAAAACGGAACAATGTTCTAAGCACAACACAGCGTGGATACACATTTCACTTCAAATCCACCAAAAATTGAGAACGAACGTTCCAACCTCGCTAAGCCGGGAACACGCTTACCTGATGCTACGCCATGCGTCGCTAACCGATGCTACCCGTCGCAAATCCAAAGTCCATTTTTCCATAAGATTGTATTACCCCCGTGCACATCTGCCCGATGCTATGCAACGCTACCCTACTCTAAGCTCTGCGATCACCACTATCCAGATTTTCGTCGGGCATCCAGTATAGTCGAAAACAAAAGAACCGGACACTCATATTTTTATTCAAACTACATGTATTATTGTCTTTATATTAATTACAACAAACTTATTTTAATATAAACCAAATTAATCGAGATTAAAAATTCATTAGTTTTTATTTTAAAAAAAATTTAATGGTTTGGTAGAAAATTGATCAATATGAAATTTTGTCGTTATATTAATTACACCATTCTTATTTTAATATAAACCAAATTAAACGAGATGAAAATTCATACATTTTTATAAAAATTATTTAATTATGATGGTTAGGAAGAAAATTGATCAAAACACCGGAATAACTTTATTTAGAACAATTAAATTTAACAAACAATTTCTTACATGGTTGTGCTCATAAAATTTTAACTAACAATTTATTACATGGGCTTTGCTCAAAATAATGCATTAAGAACAAAAGAGGCGTTGCGATTGTGATACTGATTTGTGATACACGCTGTGTGACTGTACGTGGCGTGCGCTTGATGTCGCATAGATGTGCACACCCTACCAAAACGTGGCAAGGCGTCGGGTAGCATCGGGTAGCGTCGAATGGCGTAGCATCGGGCCAGTGTATTCCCGGCTTCAGGATTTCCACTTATTGCAATGCTTATAGCCAGGAACACACTTACCCGATGCTACGCCATTCGACGCTACCCGATGCTACCCGACGCCTTGCCACGTTTTGGTAGGGTGTGCACATCTATGCGACATCAAGCGCACGCCACGTACAGTCACACAGCGTGTATCACAAATCAGTATCACAATCGCAACGCCTCTTTTGTTCTTAATGCATTATTTTGAGCAAAGCCCATGTAATAAATTGTTAGTTAAAATTTTATGAGCACAACCATGTAAGAAATTGTTTGTTAAATTTAATTGTTCTAAATAAAGTTATTCCGGTGTTTTGATCAATTTTCTTCCTAACCATCATAATTAAATAATTTTTATAAAAATGTATGAATTTTTCATCTCGTTTAATTTGGTTTATACTAAAATAAGAATGTTGTAATTAATATAAAGACAAAATTTCATATTGATCAATTTTCTACCAAACCATTAAATTTTTTTAAAAATAAAAACTAATGAATTTTTAATCTCGATTAATTTGGTTTATATTAAAATAAATTTGTTGTAATTAATATAGCGACAACAATACATGTAGTTTGAATAAAAATATGAGTGTCCGGTTCTTTTGTTTTCGACTATACTGGATGCCCGACGAAAATTTGGATAGTAGGGATCGCAGAGCTTAGAGTAGGGTAGCGTTGCATAGCATCGGGCAGATGTTCACGGGGGTAATACAATCTTATGGAAAAATGGACTTTGGATTTGAGTCGGGTAGCATCGGGTAGCGATGCCTGGCGTAGCATCGGGTGTGTTCCCGGCTTAGCGACGTTGGAACGTCGTTCTCAATTTTTGGTGGATTTGAAGTGAAATGTGTATCCACGCGTTGTTGTGCTTAGAACGTTGTTCCGTTTTTCTAAGGATTGTTATTTTACGACCCGATCAACACCCCCCCGTGCTGGGCGAGATCATACCAAGCACATGTTCCACTAATCTTTCTTTTCTTGATAAAAGTCAGCCCGACGAACCTAACAAAGCCTGACATAAATTTCTTTATGGATTGTTATTTTCCAAATCAAACTTTACTGCCCACATTGACTATACCATCACTCCACCATCCGCCAGCTTAAAAATAATCTAAACACCTTGTCTACTCTTTAATGGTGTACACACCTTCAGTATATCTGCAGAGTTATCTGTATTATGTAAACCTGTAAAAATCTGTAAAATTAACTGAACTGAGGGTGTATAGACTACATAAAGTTTTCGCCTCAGTTCGTCCAATATTTTCGTCAGTTCTGTCACTTTTGCGAGTGACAATGGGTGACGGAAAAAGCCACAGTTTCGCTGGAAGAAAGGGGAAAAAGAAAAAAACTTGTTCAAAGGTATCTGCAAAGAATCATTTTACCGATTGAAGTATCACTTACTGTACGAGGGGAAATTAATGATTTTAGGACAAATTCGTTTCAAATGATATTGAGTAATGCTGTTTTAGACAAAAAGATCAGTCTTGAAAGAAGCAATATCACCTCATGTGAAACCTTTCATCTGGACATCATTCATGAGTGTATTGATATTTCCAAAGCATAAAAGAAAGACACGACAAGTGTAGTTGTCCTTCAGGGCGAAGCATGGCCTGCATCTTTGGAAGCTTATTAGTGAACAAATATTTGAAAAACTTTTCGAACTTTATAAACAGCATGGACTTTAACTTAATTTGACACATTTCGATTCCGTTTACTTTGTTTTCTTGTTTATGAGTAACTTCTGTGTTATTGTTCTAACAGTTCATTGTGTAAAAATTATTATAGATTATTAGTTCTATAAAATGAAAATAATTTTGTTAAATAATCTGTAATTACTATCTAGGAGCAGATCCCCCCCTGCATCACTCCTTTTAATGATCTTTAATCATTTATCCTTGTAAACATCCCAGCATCAGTGATGATGTTGAGGGGGGATTCTGACGTACTGTCCCAGTGTGCGATGAGTCGCATAGGGGTTGCCATTTTTACCCGGCAACCGTGTTGTAACCTTCGAGCGGGATTTCTTACTTGACCGTTTAACCGTCATCGGTCGAACTTCAACTTTCGGGCCGCAAGTGAAAACAGGACGCAAGTGCTTATTCTTGCGTGCTCGGCCAATTTTTGTTTTTAACTCGTAAATATTTTAAGACGGCACGATTCATATTTATATTTGTGCATAGCATCAAAACACCAATAAAAACAAAAATATGTAAGTAAGAGAATTTATTGTTGACAGTATGGTTGGTTTAATTTGCGCCGGTTTTCAATTTAGAAATCTTTTCTGCAATTAGTTTAACCGAAATTAGTTTATTTCTCATTGCGCAACTCGGGACTTTTATTTGCGAGCGCTAAGTTCGTCTTAGTTGCCGTAACCTCGTACTTCAAAAACCGACCAAAACCCTCTCAAATCGTAAAATTATGGAAAAGCGGATCTTGAAAAGAAAATCGTAAGTCTTTACCGGTTGTCATTTTACGCCTCGCGTAATCCTTAAATATCATTAATGATCACATTTCCAATCAACCTGTTAAATTCAACTATGAAACGTCAAGGCAAAGTTTGTATATTAGTACACTTTCTGCCGGAAATCCCGTGCTTGTATCACCAATTTCCTTCATTCAACTGGAAAAAGTGGCGGACTAAACAAAAAAATCTTTCATTGAAAGTGTTTTGAATCTAGTTTCTATTATTGTTAAAAATACAGAACTTCAACACCTTCATAGTTTGTTGTCATACTGTATGATAAACGACAGTAACAAGACGTGAAAATTGGATAGATTGTCGAGTAATCGTTTGAAATGAAAGTTTAGAGTGGAATGGACAGATTTGAATTTTTTAAATTTGGAATTTTGGAATAATCTTGTACAGTTCAGTGCGGTAGTTCCATGTAGGGGTGATGAGCAGTGTATTTTTTTTTCTTTTTTCTTGTTGAAGTATTGAGAACATGATTTACTCCAGTTAGCTATGTTGTCCCTTGTATACTTTATTCTTTTGTTTTGCTGCTACAGTCCTGTTAGAAACCATAGACCAGATGGCCGCAATGGTTTAGGCGTTGACCCGGTGCTCATCACTGTACGGTTAAGATCCTGGGTTCGAATCCAGCGGCCCTGCATTCAAACCCAATATATAAATGTTTTTTGTTTTTTTTCCAAAAACACCGACACCCCGAGGGTTCATATAACATCTTAGTTGAAATACCCTTGTTAAAAAAAATCTAATACCAATATCAATTATTTTTTTATTGCACTGCTTCATCCATTTCTATATTTATTCAGGGTGGTAAAAGTGCCGGTGTCGGAAAAACGCCAAAAGGCAGGAAATGGGGAAACAAACCCACAGCCAGCGGAATCTGATACAGACAGCGAGTACGAAGAGGAAGAAGGAGGATTTCGCATAGGAGGAGTTTATGTCCCTCCGCCTCCTGTAGCCCTCTGTTCCTCTGAAACTGCAGGCCCTCGCCTCATTATCACGCACATCGTGAATATGAACTTCAAGAGTTATGCCGGACGGCAAGTGCTCGGACCTTTTCATAAGGTAATTGCATTATTAAACTTTTATCGTTGGATTTGGCTTTACATTGAAATTTTTGTAGAGTTTCACCAGCATTATTGGACCGAATGGAAGTGGAAAAAGTAACGTGATAGACTCCATGCTGTTCGTATTTGGTTACAGAGCAAGTAAGATTCGATCAAAAAAAATTTCTGTTCTCATTCACAAATCTGAGAACTTTCAGAATATAAGAAGCTGTTCGGTTGAAGTACATTTTCACCAAATACAAGATAAAGTAAGTACTTTAATAAACTTAGGTATTTTAATACAGTGCAAAAGTTTAAATAAAGAAAATCTCACTTAGAAATTATAAATTGCTTAATTAGAAAGACAAATTTAGCTGTTTTTAATTAATTTGTTATATTAAACAATCTCTTCTTTTTTTTTTCAAAACTTATAAACATTTTATAAAATTATAAGGGCAATGTTTATTTGTATTTAGGATGGGGATGACTTTGAAGTTATACCAAATTCAGACATCGTCATCGGCAGAACTGCTAATGCTGACAATTCCTCATTTTACACAGTCAATGGTAAAAAATCCCATTTCAAGCAAGTAGCAGCCATTCTTCGTTCACATGGTATTGATCTGGTCCACAACAGATTTTTAATTTTACAGGTTGCATATTTATTTTATTTTATTTTTAAAAAAACATATTTTTTCAATTTCTCTAATTCCTTAGGGTGAGGTTGAACAGATTGCCATGATGAAGCCAAAAGCCCAGAATGAGCATGACACTGGGATGTTAGAGTACCTAGAAGACATTATCGGTACTAGGCGATACATGGTAATCCAAATTGTGCAATGAGTTATTTACAACAATTAATATGTTTATATTTTTTAAGAAACCACTGTGTAAGTTGGAAGGGAAAGTTGGACAACTAGAAGAGGAAAGGCAAGAAAAATTCAACAAATGCAAAATGGCTGAAAATGACTGCAACGCTCTCAAACCGTCGTATGAAGAGGCAAAAGAATATTTGAAAATCTCAAACAGATATGCCTATTTGAGCAACAAGCTTTTCCAAAAGAGAATGTAATTAATCGATAGAATGTGTAAATAAACGTATTCTAAATCTTTCTTGGTTAACGATGCATATTACAGTTGGGAAGATGAAAATAAGCTGCAGACTGTTCAAAAACAGAAGGAAGAAGTCGATAAAGAGATAGCTGAATATACAAGCAAGCTGGAAGAACTTGAAAAAGAGCAAAATTCCAAGGAAGAAGAAAGAATTTCAAAACAAAAGTAATCTTCTTTTGATATATTTTTTATTTATTCACTTTTGATATGTGAATTAATTTAATTTTATCTTAATAGACATTTAGAAAAGAAGAAATTAGAAAAAGAAAAAATGTGTGATGAATTCAATAAAACAGAAAATTCTGCTACAAAGCTCAAAGAGGAAATCAGTGAAACAAATAAAAGAAGAAAAAGAGCTGTGGAATCCAAAAAATCGGAAGAAAATAAAGTAAGTATTATTTAAAGATAAAAACTTAATTGGTGTACTAATTGCATATGTTGTAGTTGGCAGAATTAGAAAAGATTCCAGATAAAAATGCCAAAGAGATAGAAGAATTGAGGAAGGTTGAGGCAAAACTAAAAAAATCTCAAAATGAAGAGGAAGTAGCTTTTTCTGAGACTCTTCAGAGCATCAATGAGGAGACGCGAGAACTCCAAGAACAAAAGGATGTTCTCAGCAATAAGCTCATCGGGCTGAATAAATCTAGAGATGAAGCGAAAGCGAAGGTAATAATCAACGAGCGGGTTTTTTTAATTTTCAAATAATCATTTCAAATCATCATTTCCAGTACAATTTGGCAAAAACTGAGCTTGATGTTTATGAAAACAATGAAAAGAAAGAAAAGGCTAAATTGGAGAATTTCACATCAACTTTACAACAAAGATCAGCAACGCTTGAAGAAAAAACAAGGTAAGACTTTTGATAGTCAATTATTGAATGTCATTTTTGCTGGTCGCACATTTTTATTCCAATTCTTTGGACTTTTACTCCTCAAAATTTTGTTTTAGAAAAAAGCTAAAACTCCTTCCTTAGTTTAAATTGTTTCACAAGTGATTTGTATAACTTATAATTGTGATAAAACAAAATTATAAATTGTAGGTTGTTGGAGAAAATTAAACAAAAATTACCTGTGGCTATGAATGAATTGAAAGAATCTCAGAAGGAGTTGTCTACAGTTAAACCTGAAGAAATCCATACTATGGAAAAATTAAATTCACTCAGAGCTCAGGTATAATGATACACAGTGGAATTATAAGGGAACAAAAAAAAAAGTATGATTTTATTTTAGCTCCAAGAAAAGAGGTCATCCCTTCAGGCAAACAGGTCGAGGAATAGGGTTTTGGAGTTCATAATGAAACAGAAAGAAAAGGGGGTTTTGCCCGGCGTATTTGGAAGATTGGGAGACCTTGGTGGTATCGATGCCAAGTATGACTGTGCTGTTTCCACCGCCTGTGGGCCTTTGGATTATATCGTCACAGATACAGTAAAAACGGCTAAAGCCTGCGTCGAACAGCTCAAAAAGTATGATGTTGGACGAGGTAACTTTATAGCATTAGACCAGCAGGAAGGACTCAAAGCGCAGTACCAAAGAGGGATCAAAACTCCAGAGAACGTTCCCAGACTCTTTGATCTGATCAAAGTAAATGATGAGAGGGTAAAACCAGCGTTTTACTTTGGCCTCAGAGACACTCTTGTGGCGAAAGATTTAAATCAGGCTAAAAGGTGTGCTTATGGTGCTACCAGATACAGAGTTGTCACTCTCAGCGGTGAAATAATAGAGATTGCAGGTGAACCATTTCAACAATTCTGTTTAAATAATTACTACTTTGAACAAGCTTATAATATTAATTAGAAAAATTCAATTGAATTAATTGTACTGAGAAATGTTGAAGAATATTTTTTATGCATTTTTTACTTTGTACTTATACATTGACAAACATTTTGTACTTTTGTTATAAAATAAGTAATATTTTCTTAGGTACAATGTCTGGTGGTGGTAAGCAGAAGAGTACAGGACGAATGGGTAGATCTGCAACAGTTGCAACTGGAGTAGAAGGCAACTCTGAAGGTAAGTTGTAAAAATTAAATCAATTTTTTTTTAAATTTCTTTTTGCTGACAAAATTATTCTTGCTAGAAATGGAATCTGAGATTGCTCAACTTCAAGAAAGAAGCAACGCATTGCATTCTAAAATGAACCAACTCGAAGAAAAAGTCGCATCACTCACTAGGGACACTCGGAAATGGAAGATTGAACAGAATAACATTGAAATTGAGATCAAGGTAGATTGAACGAATAATTGTTTAGTATAATTTTTTTTGCATTGTAAATTACCATCACAGGGTTTGAAACAACAAGTCATAGAACTCAAACAGCAAGTGAAAGAACAGGAAGAAGTTGTGAAAGCTGCAGCTCCCGACCCAGGTGAAACACGCCGCCTCAAAACTAATCTTGACCAATTAAAAAAAGGTATGTATTTTTATTTATTGTCTACAAATAAAAAATGATCTCATTTTTTTTTTTCTTTCAGACTTTGACAAAGCATCAGAGAAATCAGCCAAACTAGAGGGTGAAGTTGCAGTCTATACGAAAAATATCGAGGATTTGACTGGGGGAAGAATAAAAGAAGCCAGAGGAAAACTCGACAAAATAACTACAAAATTAGACAAAATAACGAAGGAAATAACTAAACTTGATGTAGGAATACACACTTCAAAAAGGTAATAAGCTATTGCGGAAAAGGTGGTAGTACAAATTCACACATTTATTTGTTTTTCAGAAACGTTGTTAAATGTGCTTCTCATATTGAAAATTACATAAATGAAATAGGAGAAGCTGAACAAAAGCTACTTGATGCGAGTGAAAAGAACAAAGAGCTCATAAGAATTGCAGATTTGCTAAATCAAAAAATTGAAGTTCTTACTGTGAGTTTAAAAAAATGATCTATCTATAAGTGATATGATAATGGAAAAATTGCAATTTGATTTTGTAGAATGAAATAGTGGAAATTGAAAATTCAGTTAAACAAATGGATTCAGGAATGGGCAATTATTCGAGTGATATAAACAAATTTAAAGCGTCGGTTATAAATAAAAAGCAGAAAATTGATGGATTTAAAAAAGAAATACATGATATTAAAGGATGTATTGCATCTCAGAAGAAGCAGGTAAATAAAATAAATTGAATTTAAAAAATATGTATATATTAAGAATTTGTGTTTTTCGTTTTAACAGTTGACCTGTTTGAAATTATATGAAATTCCTGAGGAGGAAGACGAAGAAGATGACGAAAACCTGCCACTCGACCAAAGGGGTGCCCACACAAAAGTGCTTCCTACAATTCCGCCTGAAGAACTTGAACAGATCGACCAAGGACACTTGGAATACATACACGTAAACACTGGGCAGATGCTTGAAAAAAGCGATGCAAAACACAACCTTGAGGTCATCAAGGACTACAGAGAAAAGGTATTGTTTCTTAGTCTTAAAACTTCTGTTTGTTTTTATTATTTGTGAATTCAGCACAAAATATAATTTCCTGTTATTTTTTCAAAATATATTTTTTTTTTATGTAACAACAGAGAAATTATTGCGGGTATGTATGATTGCTAGGATGTCTTGTTTGTGACAATGGTCCTTTGTTCAAAGTGGCCTTTGGAAATTTTCTGGGCTCCATTTTGAGTTTATTAAAATAACAAGAGACCGGATTTTTATGAAGTAAAGATTGCCAAAATATGCCTTAAAATATGCAGTTGAAAGCACTGAAATAAGCAAAAATATGCAGTGTTAATATGTTAAAATATGCAATGATACGCAGTAAACCAGTTTTTTACTCTCACAGTAACTTTAAACAGAAATATAGTTAATTAAACGAAACAGATATTAAAGCTAAAAATAATTAAAATTCACAAGTATTTAGAGGTGTTTTCCATCCACCCCTCAACTACGAGGTTATTTGAACCCTGTGTTTTTGAAAAAAAGCCCACTTGTAAAGCAGGGAACACGCTAACTGATGCTCCCACGCCTTGCCACGTTTTGGTAGGGTGTGCACATCTATGCGATGTCAAGCACACGCCATGTACAGTCACACAGCGTATATCACAAATCAGTGTCACAGTCGCAATGCATCTTTTGTTCTTAATGCATTATTTTGAGTAAAACCGTGTAATAAATTGTTAGTTAAATTTTATGAGCACAACCATGTAATAAATTGTTTGTAAAATTTATTGGTTTAAATAAAGTTATTCCGGTGTTTTGATAAATTTTCTGCCTAATCATCATAATTAAATAAATTTTTATAAAAACTCATGAATTTCTGTTCTCGTTTAATTTGGTTTATATTAAAACAAGAATGTTGTAATTAATATAACGACGAAATTACATATACATAGTTTGAAACAAACTACAAAAAATATGAGTGTCCTGTTCTGACGCTACTCGACGAAAATGGTGAAATTTTATGAGCAAAACCATGTAATAAATGTTTGTTAAATTTAATTGTTTTAAATAAATTACAATTAATTAAGGTTTTTAGTTGAGATAAAAAAGTCAATGGCACGAGCGGGATTCGAACCCACGATCTTCGGCTTGATACGCCGCTGCTCTACCACTTGAGCTATCGTGACCTCAATCCACTCGGACATCAGCTTCCCATCTCAACCGCACCTTTTGAATTTTCCCTCCTTTTTGCCATTTTTCAAGACTTTTTTTTTTCTCAACTAAAAACCTTAATTAATTGTAATATATTAGTTGGTCAAGCGGTCCACGAAATTAGTGAATTTAATGGTTTTAAGTAAAGTTATTCCGGTGTTTTGATAAATTTTCTGCCTAACCATCATAATTAAATTAAATTTTTATAAAAACTCATGAATTTCTGATCTCGTTTAATTTGGTTTATATTAAAACAAGAATGTTGTAATTAATATCATGACGAAATTACATATATATAGTTTGAAACAAACTACAAAAAATATGAGTGTTCTGTTCTGACGCTACTCAACGAAAATGGTGTATTTTATGATTAAAACCATGAAATAAATTGCTAGTTAAATTTTATGAGCAAAACCGTGTAATAAATTGTTAGTTAAATTCATTATATTCAAAAATGGTATTCCGGTGTTTTGATCAATTTTCTTCCAAACCATTTAAATTATATTTTTTTAAAATAAAAACTAATGGATTTTTGATCTCGGTTGATTTGGTTTATATTAAAATAAGTTTGTTGTAATTAATGTAACGTCAATAATGCATTTAGTTTGAATAAAGTTAAGTGTCCGGTTCTTTTGTTTTCGACTGTACTGGATTCGACCCGACGAAAATCTGGGTGGTGGGTATCACAAAGCGTAGAGTGGCAGATCTGCACGGGGGGTAATACAATCTTTTGGAAAAATGGACTTTGGATTTGCATTGGGTAGCGTCGCACGGCGTTGCATCGGATAAGTGTGTTCCCGGCTTAAGTAGGTCAGGTAAAAATGCAGGGCAGCTGGATTTGACCGTTACTTTACAGTGTTAAGCACTGTGTCAACGCCTAAACCATTCGTGTCAGACTCCCCCTACAGTTTATTTATGTTTAACAAAAATATTTTCTCACTTACATAATTAAATTATATATGTTATACTAATTGAATATAATCAATGTTAGTACTTCTCTAAATTGTCTTCTATGAAATTGTGCTTATGGTCACTTAAAATTTGTGATTGTATTGAATAGTGAAGTAAGACCTAAGAAGGGGTTTTATATTCTTTTGTCAGTATTGCTAGAATTCTATTCCCGTCGTTGCAGCCTGTTTCAGTTTTCTTCGAATTAAACCAACTTTTTGTCAACTAGTTATTTTTTTACAGATTTTTTTATGTGCTTCTTCCCAAAACCAATATAATATTTTAAACATTTTGCGCAATAAATGCGATTTTATGTAAAAATCCTTCAAATATGCGTTATTGTTCAAATATGCAATTTTATGCGATATTCATCAAACATGCAAAAATATGCTCTATAAAATTTAAACTACGGCTTCCTAAATACATGATTCGGATAGATAATTGATTTCCCTGGATGTATGTGGTGGCAAACAAAATATGCAACTGCGTAAAAATCTGGTCTCTAACAGTAACAATAACCATTTAAGAACTACCTGGCCAACAGGTAGTTTAGAGAATGGGGGAGAATCAAAACAAACAACACCTGGAATCCCTCTGCAACTCTTGCAACTCAAAAGACTACTAGACAACAGATCTAAACTCTCCCTTATCAAATACCTCTAAATGTACCACTCTATACTGCGACCTACAATCACAAATCCTTAGAACCATTGTTAATATGTACCCATTCCATGTATACAATAGCACCATCCATAACAACCTAAATGTTTTAAATGGATTTGCAAAATCCAGCTACCAAAAATTCCACAGCAACTTCCAATCCCCATGTACCTCCCCATTTTCCTCCTGATCTCTTCCCATCAATCCTCTTCGACGTTAGATTTGAGATTTTTAAAAAAGCCAATGTCACGGGTGGAATTCAAATCAAAGGGCTGGTTTGAAACAAATTGGAAATAGAGCATAGAACATTGGAGTTCAGCCAAACATTCCTTTCTCCACAGAATTCAGACTTTACAATCACAAATTCTTAGTCCATTATGAATGCGCTGTTCTATGTTTCTTAACCACACCATTCACAACAACCTAAATGTTACCTTTTTAAATGAAGTTGAAAATCCATCCATCCATTAAAAAAAAAAAAAAAAAAATCCATACTAACCCGATCCCACCTCATGTACAACTACTGTCTCTTTTCCCTTGCCCTTCCCAGCATTCCTCCCCAACGCCTAAACATGCAGCGGTTTTACCACATTTTTAACTAAAGTTACCCGTCTGATTTGAGAATATTAAATGGAAACAAAGTAGAATATATGCACATTCATAGCACACCCAAGAGTGGATATGCTGGTTGTTTAATTTAAACTATAGAATTCTTTTACTTCGAATTATAGCATTCTTTTTACAAAGACCGAGTGGCTGAATTGGACAATACGACAAAACTGAGGGATGAAGTGAGGCAAGGTTTTGAGAAGCTCAAACAAGCTAGGCTTGAAGAGTTCATGACCGGATTTGAAATTATAAGCACCAAGTTAAAAGAAATGTACCAGATGATCACACTTGGCGGAGATGCGGAATTCGAACTGAAAGATTCTCTCGACCCATTTACTGAAGGCGTGATATTTAGGTAAGGCTGAGTTAATTAAATAAATAATTATGTTTACATAATTAATCAAATGGTAAAAAGGTAGTTATTGCTTGCTTAGCATAAAACTTTTTAAGATCAAGTCAGAGTATCCACCTTAGAGGTCGGCACTTAGCTCTTGAACTTTTAATTAAGAATAGTTTGAAAAAAAAGTATTGCAGAGTGGCCCTGTTCTCTCATTATTTGCACCTAATAGATAGTTACAACATCGTCATTGTTTTAGATAAATTTTCAGTAGTTACACTTGCACAAATATCTTGTAATTTAACATATTAACTCATACCAATGATTAGACTTAACAACTGAACGCTTTTCTATTCAGCGTGAGGCCACCCAAAAAGTCATGGAAGGAGATCTCCAATTTGTCAGGTGGAGAAAAAACCTTATCCTCTTTGGCACTTGTGTTTGCTCTTCATTACTACAAGCCAAGTCCGCTTTATGTCATGGACGAAATTGACGCTGCGCTCGACTTCAAAAATGTATCAATCGTCGGAAACTACATTAAAGTAAGATCAACACAGTAACTTTTTATTCGAGCTTTTATTGAGTGATTTCATGCACTTTTCAGGATCGGACAAAAAACGCACAGTTTATAATCATATCGCTGAGATCGAACATGTTTGAACTGGCCGATTTGTTAGTCGGTATCTATAAGACGTATAACTGTACAAAAAGTACAACCATCACGCCGAAAAAATATGAGCATATTGCACTTTCTGTAAGTACAACCAGTTTTTCAAAGTAAATTGTCAATAAATACTGTTTTTTATTTATACAGAGCTTTCTTTGTTTAATATATAAGTGTATTTTAAATGGTTTTCAATGTTGTAAGTTGTAATTGCTGTTCTGCCATCTTCAATTACATTGTATTAGAAATTTGTATATGCATTTTATACACTCAAAAACAAAAAACCAGATACTCATATTTTGTTTTTTTATTTCAAACTCATGTATTTTTGATTATTCAGAAATCGAGAGATGTGATCTGGTGTGATATAGGTTTCATAAAAACATTTTCTTTATCGTGCCAATGTTTCGATCTTTAATGCAATCATCTTCAGGGCCTGGGATTTACAAACATTTTTTTAATTTAAGAAATACATGTAGGCTGTAGAAAAAAAATTAATTTATACAATGCAAAAAATATTTTTTTATAAATAATTTTTATAATAATTTTATAAATAAATATTTTTTCCACATCTTACATATATTTGTTAAATGTAAACAATGTTTGTAAATCCTAGGCCCTGAAGATGATCCCAATTAAGATCGAAACGTTGGCACGATAAAGGAAATATTTCGCTGAAATCTACATCACATCAGACCACATCTCACAATTTCTGAATAATCATGAACTAACGGTCACTAATCATCACATTTCTCATGTATTTTTATTCTTTTCTTCGTCCTTTGTGGTTGTTCGAAGGCGTTTTTCAGGAACACAGACACCTTAAAAATCGAAATGGTTGTATATATGTATTTTTATCGTTATATTAATTATAACATATTTTAATATAAACCAAATTTAACGTGATATGAAATTCACGAGTTTTAATGAAAATTATTTAATTATGATGGTTGGAAAGAAAATTCACAAAAACACTGGAAAATCATTTAGTGATAAATTAAAATTTAATGTGTGGTGATTAGTAACTGTTAGCCTATGATTATTTGGAAATCGTGAGATGCAGTCTGAATCGTAGGTTTCAGAAAAACATTTTGTTCAACGTTTCGATCTTTATTGAGATCATCTTCAGCGCCTGGGATTTACAAACATTATTTTATCAAATAAATGTAGTATGTGAAAAAAATGAATTAATACAATGCAAAAAAAAAATTATATTCAATGAAAGTATTTCTATTCACTCAAAGTGTTTGTTTTCTGCGTAATTGTGCCATTCTTGCATGTCATGCTGAGAGCGCCAGTGAGATATTTCTATTTTATGTTTATTCACATTGGATTTTGAAGGGGTGGGGAAAGAAGTCAGTATAGAAAGACATTTTTGTATAAGGAGTCAGCCGAACCTTTACCAACGTTTTTTCCCATCGTCTGCTCCAGACCATCACAGATAGTAGGGCGCGGTAGACCAAAGGTGGACTATGTAACGGACGCTATGTCCAACATTGACCAAAGCACCTGTCCGAGTAAGATCTCAACTTAAAACCATGCTTTTAAGACAAAAAATATTGATAATTTTTTCTCTCAAATTTATTGTTTCATCAAAGAAAACAATGTTATGTGTACATTTTTGTTTCAATATTAATATTTATTACAATTAATTAAGGTTTTTAGTTGAGATAAAAAAGTCAATGGCACGAACGGGATTTGAACCAACGATCTTCAGCTAGATATGCCGCTGCTCTACCACTTGAGCTATCGTGACCTCGATCCCCTCGGACACTAACTTCCCATCTCAACCCCAAGATTGGGAATGGATCCAATGGCAAAAAGGAGGGAAAATTCAAAAAGGTCAGGTTGAGATGGGAAGTTAGTGTCCAAGTGGATAGAAGTCTCGATAGCTCAAGTGGTAGAGCAGCAGCGTATCTAGCCGAAGATCATGGGTTCGAATCCCGCTCGTACCATTGACTTTTTTATCTCAACTAAAAACCTTAATTAATTGGTCAAGCAGACCACGAATTAGTGAATTTAAAGAAAACCATGTTGTGTACATTTTTGTTTCAATATTAATATTTATATATATTGTGGAAAATAAATACGAGCGTCCGGTTTTTTGTCATTGAGTGTAAAACAGGTTGTACCACTGGATGGAATAAAGAAATAAATTCAGCAGCTTAACTTGAGTTATTGGAGACATCCACTATAAATAAAATTTCTTTTCATGAAAGACTAGTATATTTGTATTAAAATGTTTTGACAAAAAGCACCCAGAATTAAAATGTTTAGTTTCCATTGTTTAAAAAGTTAAAGGTAAACGGAGGAGGAAGAAATTCCAAAAGCATTAATTATTTTACTCTTGTCTGCATGATTGAAGAAGACAACTAGGCCAATTTGTTTAATAACTCAGCAATGTTCACTTTTTAATTCCAGAAATTGAAAACAGAAAAAATAATTTTTTTAAATTTACAATTGATACTAAACATTTTTGTACAGAGATCTATACTACATTATGCAAAAATTACATAGTTTTAGAATATCCAGTGTAAAACCTCCCACTTCCTGTTATTCCAGGAGGCCCAAGATGTGCCCCAATCATCTAATAAAAATGTCGCTACAAACGTCGTCAGTAGGGGTTCTCCTCTGTCTAAGGCGACCCAACAGCCCCACTCCACCAGTATCTTTTTCTCTGATACCGAGAGTGATGATGCTTGCCTGCCTCCTAGGAAGAAGTCTAAAGAGCATTAAAATTTGTAATTATAAAATTTATCGTTTCTTTGTAATACACCAAATATTTAAATCTCAAGATTCCAAAACCGTAATTGAAATTTGTGAATTTCATTGCAGTTTTTCAACAAAGTATATATGCTGTTATTTATGTTGTCATCAAGTTTAATACTGCCAATAAATTGTGCAAATTGTTTTTTTAATCATCCAACTTTCATCAATCCATTTCCAATATTTTTTTCAGTAACTGGACAGCTAAATGCAGTGTTTCTTTTAGTAGATATTCTGGTATCAGCAACTATCAGTCTAAACTTAAAAAAAAAAAAAAAGTATGATATTCTTATACTGACATGCTGGAGGATCAAAATGACCTATTCTGGTATCCCAGATTGCTTCCTTTTCCATTTTCCAGGATTTGATTTAACTTTTCTGTGATGATCAGAGGATACTAGAAAAAAAAGGGATTTGGTATTCCCCAAGCACTGCAGCCTTTTAGTTATTGTACTTTTCCTAATTAATTTGCCAATTCAATTGACCCATTTTTTTTCCACGAGGGTTCGCAACAGCAGAGGTTATATCAACTCTCGGGGTGCCAGTGTTTTTAAAAAAATCCCATTTGTAAGTATGTCCAGCTGCCCTGCATTCGAACTCAGGACCTTTACCTTACAGTGATGAGCGCCGTGTCAAAGCCTAAACCATTGCGGCCACTGACGCCCCCCGAATAGGAAATGTTTGTATATCTTTATGTTCTTGCGGTTCATGGCTTTATGTTCAGAGCAAGAAAATGTCATTGGAGATTTTCCCCTGATGGCATTTTCAAGGAGGCATCAAAAGTGGAGTAAATCCTTAATTGTTTTACAGTTACCTATCATTCAGGTCTACCTTGCCGATTTTTGTTGGTTCAGATGCTTTTTGGCCTTCTTCAGGAACTGTACAGTTCAGTGATGCAGTGCAGATGGCAAAATGCCGAAACACGTCTGAACCAACAAAATAAGTAAGGACAGGCAGACCATAACGATTTGGATGTATTAGTGTATTACACTGTGCCCTTTAAGAGCTGTTGTATCCCCTGTTCTGTGCTTATAACACACACAGTGAGTCCTAGTTTATGAAGGAACTTGATTAGTTGGTTCATTTTCAATGGTTGAATTTCTTCTACTGTTACAGGGTACATCCCAAAACTCTTCCTCCTGCGGGCAAGTGAAGCATTTTTTTTAATAGGTGTGTTGGTGTTTCCACCGCTTCTTTGCAGAATCTGCACTTGCCATGTTGTGTTATACCAATTTTCTACCTATGTCCATTTATTTTGCATTTCTGTTCAAAATCAGGATTCACTGTCTTTTCCTGTTTTCCTTTAATGCATTCTATTATTTCTTTCCTTTCAAAGTTTGTTAGGAGGTGCTTATTTGTGTTCAATGAGTGAATCCCATTGTTAATTCATTTTCTTTTTATCCTTTTGTCTGAGGTGCTTATTGATATTGTGGATCCCTATGCCACAGAAGGTCTCAGGACCTATCAGTGGTATAGCAGTCCCTTTTCTTGCAAGGGTGTCTGCTTTCTCGTTGTCTTCTCCCACATGCCCTGGGACCTACCAGACGGTGAATTTGTTTTGTATACGTAATTGGTCGAGTTTGGTTTTGCAATTCAGCACCATCTTTGAGTTGTTTGAACTTAGGAGCTTGGTTATCTGACATGGTTGATTCTTGTTTCTTCTGTAGATACTCTTGTTTTTGAATTGTGTACATCTCTCAATTGCATGGACCTCAGCTTGGAAGATACTGGTGTATTTTCCCATGGGTTCTGAGTATATAATTCCAGGACCGAATATTCCTGCCCCTAGATCCATCTGGGTACTAGTAGATGGTGCCATTCTTAAAGGAGTTGTTTTTCTCTCTCTCCCATTCTTTTTGGGTACCTAAGTTTACTAGGAAATTTTGATTAAACTCAAACATCCTGTTTATGTCATCTCTTGGGGCCATGAGTATCGGATGGTCTTTCATTATACTGTTCCTATCTCTGAGTGAACTCCATTGTTCCTTAATTTTCTTTTTGTCCTTCTATTTGAGGTACTCATTGATAGCGTGGATTCCTATGCCACAGAAGGTCTCAGGTCCTATCAGTGGTATAGCAGTCCCTTTTCTTGCAAGGGTGTATGCTTTCTCGTTCCCTTTTTCTCCCATGTGTCCTGAGACCTAGCAGAGGCTGACTTTGTTCTGCGTACCTAACAAGTTTAATTTGGTTTTGCAGTTCAACACCATCTTTGAACTAATGACATTTGAGCTAAGTGCTTTGATAGCTGCTTGGCTATCTGACATAGCTATGTTCTTGTTTTTGTACCCTTTAGTCAAGTCGAACTGAGTAAATCTCTCGATTTCGTGGATACTGGTGTATTTTCCCATGGGTTCTGAGTATTTGGTTCCAGCACCAAATACTACCCCGGCACCTTCTTGTGTTCTAGCTCCATCTATGTACCAAACGACGGTGCCATTCTTAAGGGAGGTGTTTTCCTCTCGTCCCCATTCTTTTTTGGTACCTAGGTTTATTTGGAAGCTTTGATTAAGTTCAAACATCCTGTTCATGTCCCTTGGAGCCATGAGTATCAGATGGTCCTTCATTATTTTGTTACTGTGTCTCCATTTTAGTTTTATTCCTTTTGTTGATTTCTCTTTGATAATACTAATGATAGTTTTCTGTCCTTGTAATCATGTGGTGGAGGTTGATTCCCAGTATCTTCTCCATATCATCGGACCTGTTCTTGTCATTCCTGTCATATGGATGCATGCAAGTCTGTATTTTTCTGAAGTCTTAGTTTTGTTATTTGTTCTACTTTAACGGTCACATGTGAGAGCAGGTCTGACTATCATGGTGTTTCTTTCAACCAAAGCAGTTTCCGATCTGCATCCCCATTTTTTTCCCGCCATTCTTGTGCACAACATTAAAGCCAAGAATACCATAAGAAAACCAGAATGGTAGCTAAAAAGTAACTATAAATCAATTATCATCCCGCACAGGAAGAAATGTCACAAATCCTTAATCGTTATTAATGACATTAGAGGATGAAAATGAAAAAAAGAAATTCTGGAGAACGGATGGTTAAATAGCAGGCGACTTTGTTTTGCTGTTTTCTCTTTCATGAATTTCTCGAGGAGAGAGAAAGAAAAAACTAAAAAGGAGGATAAAGGATCATTTTCCTTTCGTTTCCCCCATCATCACGATTCACGGTCCGTGAGTAATCGGCGAGGCGTCGGTGGTATTGGGAGGGGGGGCGCCGTCGAAAGGCAACCTCGCGTTTCCTCTCCTCTCACGTCCAGGCCCAGTCGAAAGATGGCCGCCCGTTTGTCTCACCCGTTCTGACGAATTGTCTTTCGATGTATTTTCAAAACGGCCTTTGTCGGAATTCGATCCTCCGCCCGTCCGCCGACGGCTCGGCCCCTTGACGGCCGGGCTCGACCACGACCACCGTCTCATGTTTGATCGCAGCGGCGGCTTGAATTGGAGCCCGAGCCCCACATCCGAGATCGACCGGTTCGAACGACTCGGCCCGACCTAGAAAATATGGTAAATGAACATGTTTTCGACCCTAAATTGATCTGGCTTACATCCGCGACGGCGAGCTTCTGCATCGTCCTCACCCTCATCACCTGCCTCTGCGGCTGCAAAAGGAAAATTCCAAAGTGAGTTCTGTTTACTTTTCAGCCCCTTCGCCCAGCCATGTAAACAATCAAGTACGTCGGACTTTCGAAAGATAGGTCCGCCCGTTCTCTCAGTTGTCCTTAATGTTATCGTCTAATTGCTTCCTACGTCTGCTTAACAACTACTCGTGTCTTTTGCCACTTAGTGCTTAATCAATGATGAAGGCTATTGAAACGCCCTGGTTAAAAAAAACAGTAACCCCAAAACAAAAACAAATTCCTAATACAATTCCTAATACAATTATCGTATAACTATTAGCACATAACCTCGCTTAAAAAATTTAAAATTTGTGAGTATGACTGAACACATCTCTTAGGCTGGCACCATGCTAGACAGAATGTGACGGTAGTTTTCGCTGCACAAGTTTACATTCAAAACACAGTCAGCGACAGACTGAACAACTCCGTCGTAATGTCTCCATCGAGCTCCGTTGGTGCACCATCATCCGATAACAGAATGTTCCACTGGGTTCTGTCTAAACAGATCAAAACAGTGCAAAATAGATGGGGTGAGCCGCACTGACAACGGACAAGTGTAGAACGGAAGAGGCATGCAGTCGGACAGGCAAGCTGCAAGTGAAACTGATCTGGGCTGGACGTGGACCAATTTATTGTGGAAGTTCAGAACAGGCCCTGTACGTGGAATTTTAAAGATGCTGTAGCCATCCCATAGTATTGGAAGAACTTGACAGGATAGCGTCGAAGTTCCCCGTGCTACCATTTTCACCCAATTCTTTTCTTCTGCTTCTCCATCGCTTTGTAAATACACAAAACGAAAAGTGGTTTCATTGTACCGTACACTAACAACTGAATATCCAAAAAAGTCGTCTTTCCGTTAGCCGTATATATGGCTTATTCGAGTAGGGCAGATTTTTCGTCGCAAAATTTCTGTCACAGAAATTCCCGACGCATTCCGTCTGGTGTGTCACCAGCCTTAAGGTGTCTGTGATGATGAAACTGTAGTGTGGTTCTGTCCGATCATTTTGGTCTGCTTATCCATTACAGTTTGCCCTGTCAAATTGATCAATTTCTTAAAAAATATAACATTTTATTAAGTATTAATCCATTTATGTTTCTTATGTTAATCCATTTAGTGTTTTTTTTTTTTTTACTGGCTACGTTTCCGGATTAACCACCAGACTTTAAAGCTTGTGTAAAACAATATGAGGAGGGGATGCTATTTAGGAGGTATCAGCTCAGACGCGGCCAACCAGCCAGAAGATCAACGGACCTGCCATTAGGAATATTCTTTCTCAATAACGAGGGTCTTAGCGGAAATGCGGATAAAAACCACTAACATCGAAATAATATAGAAAAATCAACATGTCCCAAACCCCCGGAGCAAACTTTGCTCTGGAGGCCCCTCACTCCACCCAGCAAGAAAGCAGCAGCCGGGCCGATAGCCCCTGACACCCATCTGGAACCCCCTCCCCATTGTTAAGAGTCATCTACACAGACACAGTCATCTAGAGAATACTGGAATAAATAAACAAACAAATAACAATAACAACATCAATTAGTTAATATTCAATTCTCATATGATTAACGCACACTTATAAATTTTAACAAACATAAGATGCTTTTATTTGTTTAAGCCATTAATCTTTTGTTAAATTGTTTTCAACTTTACTACTTGTTATACTACATAAATATATTGTCTAAATATTTTACTGAAATAGGTTTATTAAGATATTTTAGCAGTGCTGTTGCTAGTTGATTTTCAGCTTTATTTTTGGAATAGAAGTAAAAATAAATGTCTGTGGAGCTGGATTCGCCATTTTGCGCCAATATTCTCCAAGTTTATGATTAAAAAAAATACATCCACTCTTAAGGATAAAATGGGCAAACGGTTGAGACAAATATAAAAAAATGGTTTATAAAAAATGCGCTATTGTATGTAATGTTGCGTTTATCAATAAAGATCTTTGTCAAAGAAAGTTTGCAGTGTAATGCCATTTTTTTATATTACTGATGAGTTTTTAGGAAGCTGACTAGACAAAAATTATTCATATTTGCAAAAAATTTAACATCAGCTCATCTAATTTTATATGAACCATTTCATATTTATTTTATCGTTGTCACTTGTAATAAACTGGCCGTTATTGGAGGTTATGACAGAGCAAAAAATGTGACCTTGCAATAAAATTATATCTTTGCGTAGTGAGTTAATCGCCAATGGGTTTTATATAAAAATTACACATTTCTTTATTTAAAAAATAAATAAATAACGTTCAACCAGTATTTCCTAATGAAATTATTTTGTTTCATTTTTACAGAAAATTGGTATAAAAGGTAGAATAAATTTAATAAATGGTTGAAGTAGTGAGGAACAGCGTGACTGCTTATTGAACCACTGGTCGCTAAACAACACACATTGAAATTGTTTACACTTGAGAGATCTTGTTCACTTTATTATTGTTTATTCATTTCAATTTTTTTCTTTTTATTTATTTCCACCGTTATTTTTGTTTTTGCTTATTTGTTTTGTTTATTTTGTGTGATTTTTTGTCCCAACCTTGTCAGGAATGAACTGCTGGGCCTAGCGGGGCTGGTTAAGATCACGAACCCAGATGAAAATGTCAACTTTCATTCGAGCTCTCAAAATGTTCAGTTAAATTCGGTCACAGTCGTTCAGGATGAATCTTCTGAAAGGACTGAAACGCACGATCCTGGAAAAAGGTTCAATTTTTTATTTTATGGTGATGGTGATGTAACAACCTTGTTTTAGTGGCTGATTGTGATATTTTATAACCCGTTTTTCTCACTAATTGTCATTATTTTTAATTCATATCACGCACTTCTCCAGAAAATATGAAATCTGTATGTATTTTAGTATAATCATTAGATATGCACTTTATTTATTTATTGTTTTTAAATTTACCTTTACTTACATAACTTTAAGCAATACTTCTTCAGTGTGCCAATGACTTTAATTAGCAATTTGGTTAATCTAAATACCCATAATAACTAATGATTTTGTTAATAATAAAAATGTACATATAAAATCATTTTTAATGCATTTTCAAGAATAATAATCAAACAAAATGGGTCAAATTTTTGAAGAAATGTAACTATAAAATAAATTAATGAGTTTCTTCTGAATTATAAAATGTATCTGTTTAACTTGGTATTTTAACTGTATGGTGCATGAAATCGTATTAAAATTTATTAACAAATCACATTATGTCGTGAATAAAATTGAAAGTTTCGTTTGTCTTAGAGGTAGCAATGCACTTGCCACTGCGACTAGAAGTCTCCCTGATCTTCCTGTAGACTCAGGCGAGGCTTCTGAGAAGTTGTGGGACCCTCCTGAAAACAATGTAGACACCAACTCCGACCTGTACGCAACAGTCGAAGGTCTGTTTTATTTTCAAAATGTCGGGTGATTTGTGTTAATGAGGTGTTTTTCAGATGCCAATCGTAAAAAGCGAATTCTGACTAGCGGTCTGACTGTCGACAGCAGCTACACACCGAGCCAGACAGATGACAGTTTGTCGCCATATGCACGGCTCAAAGGAGAGCACCCCTATGACCAACTGAAGCAAAGTACTTCGGATCGGTATGTACGGTTATTATATGAAATTATAAATTCAAATTTTTTCGACCAGATGAACATCCGTACGCACAAGTCGGACCCAATGGCACTCTAGCAACACGAGGAGCAAGCACGTCTCAAGATACAACTGTCAATTCCACTCCTTCTAGGTAATTGCTTTGTTCTTGGTTTGTAAATCTTAACATGTTCCATGAGATTGCCCTTGGCTGACCATGGCTAAACAAAGAGCACCTTCTGAAAATTGCTGATTTCTATCTTAATTTATTACTTTTGTCATCAAGAAAGGTAATCTCTACTTAATACGCCAACTTTCTAACCTTGCATTTGTGCATTTTTGTGTCATCTTTCAAATTCAAAGTTCTGATAAGAATTACCTAAATATTTTAAATTTCTGGTTTAAAAAAAAAGGGGGGGGAATTTTCATTTTTCTTTATGTAAACAAAACATGTAAACACAGGAAAATTTAAAAAATCTCATTTACAAAATAGATCCTTTTTAAAAAAAAGTTTATTTCATATATTTCATTTCATAAGAAAACATATTTTCAAGTGATATAAATTAAATTGTTTTGTATATTGTGTAATAGTCGAAGGGGTCTTGAGACGGAGAGGGATGATGAAGACAACAAATCAGCGACACTGTCTGAAATAACCGATGAGATTCCTGCTGCATCGGCTATAGCCGGCTCCGTACCGGCGAACCACGACCTGCCGTATATGACGCCTCCAATTCCAAACCCAGTGCAACAACACTTCAGCGGCGATTCTGTAGACTCTTCGAGTAAGTAAACTTATTAATAAGCCGTTTCGTGATTGGCATGACTTAAAAAGAGTCAGGCATTCTTTTCTATATGAGAAAGCCACTTGATTTGAATTGCAAATCAGCTTTTTTAATAGATTCAGAAAGCACTGTTCCGATCAATATTACATTTCAACAAGTAAATTTATAGAAATTTTATTATAATTATTTTATGTAATTTTTATTGAGCAAATTTTTGAAAATGTATTGATTTTTAAACAATATTAGTTCATTTTGTGAAGTAAATTTATGTTGCATTCATGCAATGATTTCTATTGTCAGAAAATTTTAGAGATAGTGTTTTATTTATATTATATGCTACTATTTTGCATTTGTTTTTAATTTACTTAAAAAAACATTAAACAAGTAACAGAAACAAATTAACTGAAAAAATTGGCAACCACATCACTTGGTTGAATTTTAAAAAAACCTTATGGCAATAAATTTTTGGACTGACACTCAAATATAAAAACTGGACACTCCTATTTTGTTCGTATTCAAAGTATGTTTTTTTTGTTGTTATATTAATTACAATTACAAATACTTATTTTAATGTAAACCAAATTAAATGAGATCAGAAATTCAGGAATTTTAATAAAAATTATTAAATTATGATGTTTTGAAAGAAAATTCAACAAAATACAAAAATTCCTATTTTTCATGGTCCGCTTGACCAATCAATATCATTCAAGTAATTAAGGTTTTAAGTTGAGATAAAAAAATCACAAGCGGGATTCGAACCCACGACCTTCGGCTTTATATGCCATTACTCTACCACTTGAGCTATCGTAATCTCGATCCCCTTGGGCACCAACTTCCCATCTCAACCGCACCTTTTGAATTTTCCCTCCTTTTGTGTGACTAGTCTACTCAACTTAAAACCTTTATTAATTGGTCAAGCGGACTACGAAAATAGTGAATTTAAAGAATTAAAATGAAGTATACTTCACTAAAGCTCTCCGTGGCCATTTCACTTGTCGCTGAGAATCAAATAGATTACACGACATTTGAAAATGGCAGAAAGGAGGGAAAATTCAAAAGGTGCGGTTGAGATGGGAAGTTAGTGTCCGAGTGAATCGAGGTCACGAAAGCTCAAGTGGTAGAGTATCAAGTATCAAGCCGAAGGTTGTGGGTTCGAATCCCGCTTGTGACGCTGACTTTATTATTTCAACTTAAAACCTTAAAAATTGAAAAATACAAAAACATCATTTCATGTTAGAATAAATTTAACTAATCATTTATTACGTGGCTTTGCTCTTAATAACACTTATTAGCTCCTCTGGCCTCACAGAGGGCCTTAAGTCTCCTAGGCAGATTTTGTCCAGTGAAATAGTATTCCATTGTTCATCAAAAGTTTTGAAACTGCTCAATGTTAGTTGGAGGCAGTGAACCAACATGCGGTTGAGCATTAACACAAAATTGTCCTCAATAAATGGCTGCAAAAAGAACTTACTCAATTTTCCTTGGGGCAGTCAAAGATCCATTCTGCGTGACAGTCAAATCGGTGTGGGCATGGATGTTCGATTCCACTCTGTACCGAAGCTGACTGTCTTTAATAAGGCTGTAGCTCACTCATGGCACATGGAGCAAAGCGTTCTCCATATCTTCTCCACACATTGTCCCAGTCACCTGATTGCCACAGACCAACCCCGCCCTCATCTGTGAAGAGAACAGCCCCCCCCCCCATTTTTAAACTATCCAAGGCAGATGCTATTATAATTTGCAAATAGTCGCTATTCTATTAAAAGTCTTTCGAGTAGTAGAGGATCTGAACGGAATGTCTAGAGACTAGGCTATTATCATGAAGCGTTCTGCTGGCAGTTTTAGCGCTCGCCCTTATATCACAGGCCATTTGGAATTGACTACACATGCAATAATAATACCGATAAAATTTATTACAAGTGTCCAGTGTTTATTTACTTTATTTTTTTACAGAGGGTTACACTTCAATTAGTGTGAGAGAGCCACTTGCAAGGATAATGGCATCATCAAGGAGGAATGGAAGTGGTGATCCACACTATGCCACAGTTTCGGATGATTCAGACGAAATGTATGCTGCCATTGAAGAACACAGAGGGAATGGGATTGTAGCTGCTCCACCACCTTATGACACCGCTGGCGGAGAATACACCAGTGGGAGTGAGACTTATGCTCAAATTGCACCGCCGTCATCTCACCATCCTCTAAACCTCACACTGAACTTGAACCTTCAACACCAAGGTTGAATTTTTTTCCCCTTTAAATTTATCATAAATTAATTAATAATTGGGATATACCCGTAGATTCTGTATCCAGCGGTGGAAGTGCTGAATCTCCGAGGAGAGACAGGAGAGTTGCAAATTCACCTCTTCCGGAGGTGCCCGCCCTTGATGATATGTACGCAAAGGTCATGAAGAAAGGAAGATCGCCGACGAGCCCAGAGCCGCCTGACGAACCACCTACATCAAACACTGTATGTACCACCAAATTTTCACATAAATTTTCATAACAAATGCAAATTAAATTTCTTCTTGTCCATTTAGTTTTATCGTTAATGGGATAAGTGTAAGCAATGAAATATATTACATTGGTCGGAATTTTTTAAATTCTAAGTTTTATTTTACTTCAGGGCAGATGCGACGAACTTCAGAATATCCCTGGGTATGAAACACTCAACACAGATCCTAATTATGAAGAGCTGCAACCTCAGATAATCGGACACGAGCCTGACTATGCTAGCCTCTCACGCCGTTACGAATCATCTGTCACTGACCCCAATTACGAAAGTGTTGGCTCTTCCCTTGATCCGCCTTATGAAAGAGTAATTATTCTTTATTATAAAAATAGCCATTACAGTTAATGTTGTTTTATTTAAACAACATAACATTTTTATTGAGATTGAAGTCAATTGAATTACCTAAAAAATTTATTGCACTAAATCACAGTTTTTAATAATGCTATTTTGGATTGTATTGATGGCTTTCTTTCGCTATTATTATTACTTACAACATTTCTTGGGAGAGTAGTTAATACTTTTTTTTTCTTGTAGGTGAATACGTCGCCGATGCCGGAAGATCCTCCTGATTATGAGGTTGTTTGCAGCAGACCTGGCCAGCCGGCACTCGAACCCTTTTCCGACCTTTATGCACAGGTGAACAAAACTTCAGAGAAGAGGCGATCCTCCTCCCATGAATGAACCCCTTCAGTTACGCTTTGTGTGATATTAGCCGCTTAAAGTGATGATCTATAGGTGAAAAGTTATTTTATTTTTTTTTAATTGAAGAAAACTTTTCTTGCTAGTGCAATTAATATTAAGAGATTTTGATCCGTGGCTCAAACTGCAAACGTCATTGGCATTCCAGGCAAAAAGTCTGATTTTTGGATATTTTACTCTATTGTAATTTATTTTTTATATTTTTAAATGTAATAAATTTATTCATTTATATTTAATTGGGAAAATAAATTATTTTAATACAATTTAAACAAATACTGAATATACAATAGAGGCTTTTATTGGTTAAAAATTAATCATGTATGATCATTACTGATATCAAGATTCCATACTCAAAAATAATCAAATGTATGTCTTCCGCTTTGACATTTCTTCGAATTTAAATCGCCCAATGGAAATAACTTAAATTCAGTATAAATTACTAACAAATGAAAAAATCAAGTCTTATAGTTCAATAGTGTTGCTTTACAATGGTGAAAATTGATGGTTCGTCGATTTGGATACCTTAATTGCATACCACATGTTAAAAAAAAAGTAAAAAATTACTTTTATATTTATTATTATGTAGTAAAATATTATTGCATGCAAAAAAAGGATGAATTTTGTAATAAACCTTTTTAATTTTGTAACATATGAAAGAAACAAAAAAAGAGTAATTTGTTTTAAGAAAAGTACAAATTTTTAAAATATATTTATTGTTATTATATTTATAGTAGCTATTTTATGTACATTAGGTTTTAAAAAAAACTTGCTTCAATCAATGTGATCATTAATAGTATCCATTTTAAAGGGTCAATTTTGTTATTTCATCAGGAAACAGAATGTTGAGATATTATTTATAATACAACCTATCCTTTCTTATTCATTGTTTAAAAGATCTTTAAGAAAATTATGCTAAGCTTGCAACATTATTTCTATTTTTCTAGCCGTTTATTTAACATAGACAAGTTTCAAGACTGAATTTTCTACATTTCATTTTAAAGCGATGCACAATTTTTATTGCAAAAATTCAAAATAATATTAGGTTTATTCCAATAGGAGAGCAAGCTCTTATAGTATAGATTATAATTACAGTAATATCGAAGCCTTTTATCAAAATAATTTTTTTTTTTAAATAAATGTATATAAGAATGTATAGTTTTTTAATCTCCACAGTAACAGTTAATTATCTATTAATATGCCTTTATGTATCCTGGCTGTGATTAAAAAATATAGTTTAAATTGCTGTCAAACAGAGATTTTGCAATCTGAGAGTTTATTCTTGTAAAATGTATTTTTTATATTGTTTTCATATAATTTTCTTCTATATTTTGTTTGTATTTTCAATATAGGTTTATTACGTTGATTGGAATGTAGTATAAGTTGGCCTGACACTCGCCGTTTTAAGTCTACTGCTGTTAGTATTAATAATGCATTTTTATTTATGTGATGACTATAATTAACATGAATGTTTAATTTTATTTATTGACAAAAAAAATGATTCTATTAAATTAACTATTGTCATTTTTTTTAAATACCATTTTTTATATAAATATCATTTTTACCATTACCGATACCACAATTTTCCTTTAACTCGAATCCTATCCAAGCTAACTCCAACATCTAAGAACACCTTGAGTTTATAAAAGACTAATGTAAAAATTGAAGTAAGAAAAATGTACAAATTGAAAAAAAAAACAAAAAAAAAGTTTTTCCCTCCACTGTACATCATCGTAAGTCGTCTTCCATGTCAGATAAAGTCAAATACTCAGATCTATACCTAGACAGCAGACTTACATCGAATCCCCACACAAGACTTAAAGCGACGACAACTTAACAAAAGACTGGATACTTTTTTTAAGAACAAAATATATTTGGATAATATTGATAAATTATTTTTATTAGTAGTAGTCATCAACCTCAAAAGGCTTCAATTTTTGAACGGTGGAGAAATTCGGTTTAGCAATTTCTGCAAAACCTAATATCTCAAGTAAATTACAATATCCTAAAGAAAAAAATTTCAAAATTCAAATTCAAAATATTTGGATATACTTAGTTCCAATATTTTTTTAGTATATTTGCACACCTATGTAACTATATAATTGATAAAACTCTATGAAACGCATTACAAGAACAAATATGGTTCTGTCATTTAAATTACCGGGTTTATCATAAACTGGGTAACTTATTACGCCAAGATTATGTTGTATTTGGTCTTAGTAAATACTGACACAGATAAAAAAGTTGACATTATGAGGAAATAAAGTTTTGACCGTAAATACTTATTATCCGTGTGCTATGCCAGATTTTTCTCTGCCAAACAAATGTAAAATTTAATTCAAATATATTTCTATTTATTAGTACCAACACATTTGGTAATCAGTTAGACAGATTGATATTTATCTGTTTTGAAAAGAAATATCGGTATTACAGAGATATCAGAACCTTTTAAGCTTTTAAATTGAGGAAAAATTAAAGAATTAAAATATTAAAGTTCAATTTTTTTTGGACGAGTTAAGCATTTTTTGGAGAAATACATAAACTTAGAAAATTTATTCACTTTTCAGAGCTTGAAACGCGATATCACTCTGGATACATTTCATATCGAAATATAGGTAACGAACTATCGATATCACGTAAAATGGCGGTACCAGAATATCAAAATGTATTTGAAAAAAAAAAACTAATTTGTATTCTTAGCTTATTATTTAATGTATTTGTACTGACGATATCGAAAGTTTTGTTCGGCTGATAATTTTTAGAAAAAATTGGTTTAGAACATTTTATTAACTGAGCTTGAAACGGTTCAATATCACTCTGGATACGATATTTCATATCGAAATATAGATAACGATTTATCGATATTCGCGTAAAATGGCGGTACCAAAAATATCAAAATATGTTTTCAAAAACATGAACTTGAATTCGTATTTGTAGCTTATTATTGGTGCTGACAATGCTTCAAGTTTTGTTCGGTTAATAATTTTTGGAGAATTATTTCAACTTAGAACATTTATTCACTTTTCTAAACTTGAAACGTTTAGATATCACTGTGGACACGATATTTCTTATCGAAATATAACGATCTATCGATATTCCCGTAAAATGGCGGCGTCAAGAATATCGAAATGTATTCGAAAACGCATAAACTTTAATTTGTATTTGTAGCTTATTAGTGGTACTGACAATGTCTCAAGTTTTGTTCGGTTAATAATTTTTGGAGAATTATTCCAACGTAGAATATTCACTTTTCTAAACTTGAAAAGTTTTGATAACACTCTGGACACGATATTTCTTATCGAAATATAGATAACGATCTATCCATATTCCCGTAAAATGGCGGTACCAAGTACATATAAATGTATTTGAAAAACAATAACATGAATTTGTATTTTAGATTATGATTTATTTTATTTGTACTGACGATATCGATGGTTTTATTCAGTTGGTAATATTTTTTAAAAATACTTCGACTTAGAACATTTTATTCCTTTTTCAGAGCTTGGAACGTTCGATATCGCTCTAGATATCGAACAATAATAGAACAGAAGATTTCAATAATTTTTATGAAACTACTCAAAAGCCTCAAACGTCAGGATAACAAATTTTTTCTTCGTTACAAGGCCTATAAAAAATAAATCTTTCGTCTACAAAATAAATTTTACTTACGTTTTATTTTATTTATTCTACAGCAAAAATTATTGTTTTAATCCATATTTGACACATCTTAAAAATAGTTGTTCAACTAAAAAAAATGGAGATGATTCTGCTCTGGGAAAAAGGGATCAAAACCAAGCTAAATCTTGCTTTAATTAGCTGTGTACAGCCAGAGCGTCCTGTTGGTCGATGTTATTTGGGGACATTGTTACCAAATTTTGAAACACGTGAGGCAATTAATTTACTAACAGTTAAAATGATAAATAAATTGGCTGTTGGTTGAAGATTTCGTTTATCTGAAAAACAATGTTCAGAAATAATTTATTTAGGGTTCAGAGTTGGGCCCGACTTGCCAAATATTACTTGTTAAATATCTATATATGTTTTTTATTTTATTTATTGTTTCTTGATCAATGTTCATAAACGTATACATAGATACAATAAAAACATTTTAAGTCTTATCGTATTTGTTATTATTAGTATTGTATATAATTATAAACGAATAAATATATATTATATTCAAAAGTTTTCAAATTGAAAAATTCTGGTGTACACATATATTTGTGACCACTATTTTTCTCGTATATCGGTAGATTATCTATGTACATAATTTAATAAAAACTATATGATAAACGTTTTATGCATTGAAATATGAATAAATGTTCAAAGTTAAATTATTTCTATAAAAATTATCGATTGAACAAAACTTTCGACATTGTCAGAACGAATACATTAAATAATAAGCTAAGAATACAAATTAATTTTATTTTGTTCAAATACATTTTGATATTCTTGGTACCGCCATTTTACGTGATTATCGATAGATCGTTACCTACATTTCGATATGAAATGTCGTATCCAGAGTGACATCGCGTTTCAAGCTTAGAAAATAAATGTTCTACGTGAAATAATTCTCCAAAAATTATTAACCGAACAAAACTTGAGACATTGTCAGTACCACTAATAAGTTACAAATACAAATTCAAGATTATGCGTTTTCGAATACATTTCGATATTCTTGACGCCGCCATTTTACGCGAATATCGATAGATCGTTATCTATATTTCGATAAGAAATATCGTGTCCAGAGTGATATCTAAACGTCTCAAGTTTAGAAAAGTGAATACATGTTCTACGTTGAAATAATTCACCAACAATTATTAACCGAGCAAAACTTGAGACATTGTCAGTACCTAAAATAAGCTACAAATACAAATTCAATTCAAGATTATGCGTTTTCGAATACATTTCGATATTCTTGAGGCCGCCATTTTACGCGGATATCGATAGATCGTTATCTATATTTCGATAAGAAATGTGTCCAGAGTGATATCGGAACGTCTCAAAGCTTGATAGGAGATTTGTGAGTGAGATAGTTTAGCGCATGCGCGTGGCGCCGACGAATAACGACCGGTCGTCGGCTGGGATGGACGTCGAGGTGGGGGCTGGCGTCAGGTCTCGCTCCGTCGTCGGTCGTCGCTAGTGTCGATTTCGCTGCCAACCGGTCGCCGCAGCCGCCGCCGGTCGTCAGTAGTGACGGTCTTCATAACCGACTCCGACTCGTCTCATGTTGACTCGTTTTCATCCCATATTCCGACTGGACGTGCTCGCTCCCAGACAGGGCGGATGAGCACCCACCTCAACGTTGTCCAAACAAATGGTTACAATATGCCGATTCAGGCCGTGCGCAAATACAGGAAAGACACCTCCGAAGTCAGCTGCTGTCTCAAATATGTGATTTTCGGTTTTAACGTCCTCTTCTGGGTAAGTCCTAAAATCATCTTCTTCTCCTTATATAAAAAGGGACGAGGCACGTTTCCTCGGACCTTAGACTATGTTTGTTTACCTACTCGTTTTTCCTATTGATTATTTCTAACGTCCTTTCCTGCTGCACTCAGCTGATCGACCTTCATTCTCCTGTTACTCCATTCACTCTATTTTCTAACTGCAGTCGTTTTACCCACAAAATGCATTTTATTATTCATTTAACTTCTTTTCCTTTCTTTTTTAAATAATAAGTATGCTTGGAGACTACCAGAGTTAAATGGTTATTAATTTCTATGGTTTCCAAAATACTCCACATGTGTTCATCTCATCTGTAAACTGTTTTAATTATAACCGTCATCATTGCTTCTGCAATTTTTCCTGATTTTTTTGTTAACAATGTACCATATAATGAAATAATTTGGATTATTCATGTGGCAGTTGAAAATTGTAGTTTTTGTTACGTTGTGTACTATCAGTCAGAAAATAAGTGTAAAAGCGTAAAGGTTAACGCTATTTCCGTTTAAAACCTTTTAAGTAAATTTTCCATTTTACCTATGCAGAAATTCGAAAATACTTCACGTGTTCCATTTAATTTTTAATTTTTTTCCAATTACATAGGCCTAAGGGTAAAGGGCAAGGAACCACCATGACCAGTAGAGCCCTAATTTATATGCACTAAAAAAACCCTCTGAAATATGCAACATTATATGCATTAACAAACCTCAAAAATACGAGACTTAATTTGCTCTAAAATCCCTTCAAATATGTAATATTATGTGCATTAAAAAACCTCTAAAATATGCCGTTTAATTAGTTCTAAAACTCCTTCAAATATGTTATATTGGGGGCACTAAAAAAAAACTTCAAAATATGGCACTTATTTTCCTCTCAAACTCCTTCAAATATGTTATATTATACGCACTAAAAAACCTCTAAAATACGCCATTTAATTTGTTCCAACACTACGTCAAGAATGTTATTATTGCACTAAAAAACCTTTAAAATGTGTCGTTCAATTAGTTCTAAAACTTCAAATATGATGTATTTGGGGCACTAAAAAAAACTTTAAAATATGGCACTTACTTTCCTCTAAAACTCCTTCCAATACGTAATAATAAGCGCACTAAAAAACCCTCTAAAATATGCCATTTAATTTGTTCCAACACTCCATCAAGAATGTAATATTATAGGCACTAAAAACCTCTAAAATATGCCAATTAATTTATTCTAAAACTTCTTCAAATATTTAAAAAAAAGTACCTAAAAACCTTTATAATATGCCGTTTAATTTGTTCTAAAACTCCATCAAATGTGCAGTAATATAGGCACTAACAAACCTTCTAAAATATGCCACTTAATTTGTTCTAAAACTCCTTCAAGTATGTAATTTTATAGGAACTAAAAAAACCTCTAAAATATGCCACTTAATTAGTTCTAAAAAAACTTCAAATATGCAGTATTGTAGGCACTAAAAAGCTCAAAAATATGCCGTTTATTTTGTTCCAAAACTCCTTCAAATATGTTTTACTGGAGGCATTAAAAAACCCTTTAAAATATGCCACTTATTTTGCTCTAAAACTCCTTCAAATATGTTAAGCACTGAAAAACCACTAAAATATGCCATTTAATTTATTCTAAAACTCCAAATATGTAGTAAGGGAGGCACTAAAAAACCCTATAAAATATACCATTTAATTTGCTCTAAAACTCCTTCAAATATGTAATATTGTATGCACTAAAAAAATCGGAAAAAACCATTTAATTTGCTCTAAAACTCTTTCAAATACGTAATAATAAGCTATTGAATTTACTCTAAAACTCCTTCAATTAGTAGTACTGTATGCACTAAAAAACCTCAAAAATATGCCGTTTAATTACTTCTAAAACTCCTTCAAATGTGTAATAATATAGGCAGTAAAAAACCTCTACAATATGCCATTTTATTTGTTCTAAAACTCCTTCAAATATGTAGTATTAGAGGCACTAAAAAAACCTCCAAAATCTGTCACCTAATGTGTTCTAAAACCCCATCAAATATACAATATTTTGTTCCTCAAAAACCCTCAAATTTCCAATACTATGTGCACTAAAAAAACACTCAAATATGCCATATAATGTGCACTAAAAACCCTTCAGATATGCGATATAATATGCTTGCAAAAGCCTTCAACTATGCAGTATTTTATGCATTAACAAAACTTGTTTTTTCTGGTCTAGCAATATTCATTTTTTTTTCAAATTTGTTATACATAAAACAATATAATTAAAAAGAGGGCTGACACTAACTATTTTTGTGCTTCAAAAGAGCTTCCTATCTGATTTGATAACCTTGAAAATTAATTATATTTTGAAAGTCCTGATGAAGGGGATTTATTCCTCGAACGCACTCCATGAAGCAATTAAATGCTTTCTTTTAATTGGCCTTGTCGAGCGATCGATCGTCTTTTAATAATAATAATAATAATAAAAAACTAGGAGAGATCACCTGACTATAAAACGTGTAACAAACAAGAATTTCCGCTCCGAGAAAAAACCGAAGTTTTGAGGTATATTGGTTTAATAAGTGTATGACAGTGGTGTGTTGTGGAAGCTAGGACGTCCCTTTGTCAGCCCAGCGTTTTTTGAAGTGTTTTTTGGTGAGGTGAGTTCAACTGGATAATTTTTTTGGACGATTAGACAAGTCTGCTGGGTGCTAGTTTGTAGCTCGCATTCCCTATTGGGAAGTGTTGGGAAGTGTGGGGCCTGAATCTCTCTAGAAACCTGGTTTCAGGGTTGGGCAAGNAATTTTAAAAAGAAAAATTAAAGCTTGGATGGCAATAGGATAAATAAGATTACGAGTGAATGTTTGGAGTCAGAGCTTTATAGCACTCAGAAGAGATATAGCTAACCTAAGATAGAAGGTTTGGATGTTAGGGCGTGAAATGACCTTAGCCGTTAAAACGCCCTTAAAAATTAATAATAATAATAATAATAACCTTAGCCGTTAAAACGCCCTTAAAAATTAATAATAATAATAATAATAATAAAAAACTAATATAAAATTTGTTTAAAAGCGAAAAACATAAGACTAACACTTTTTTTTGGCTCAGCGCTTTTTATGCAAATTTTCCGTTCAGTTGTAAAAGTTTCTGTTAGAATGTTCGTAAGGCGAAAAAATTCCACTCTCGTCGTATGAAAGTCGAAAATGTTAATAAAATTTACTTTGAAGCAATGTTTTTCGCATTTTCAACCAGTTAGTTCAGGATTGAAATGATAATGCATCTGCACTTACCATTTGTTTTCACTCGAGTCATGGACTTGGCGAAACGCCATGGTGAAAAGATGTCGATCGTGATAAACGAAGAATCTTTCAGTTACAAAGCCTAGCTTGACTTGATTTGACAAACGTTTTGAAACTTTTTAAAAAACAATTTTCCGATCGGAACGAACGATGTTCGAGAAGAAAAAGTCACGTTAGGAAAATGGCTATTACAAAAATTGACCCTTCAGTGGTTAAGAATTTTAAACGGCGGCCATAAAAATCAACAGAAATGATTCGAAAGGTGTAGTTGAATTTTATTTCACCTACATTTCTCAGAAGAAATAAATTGGCTCGTGAGAGAAACATCAAAAGATTAAAACTTCCATGTTTACCTTGGACAAAAATTGCAAGCGTTTTGTTTGAATTATGCTGAAGGTCAGGCAAATTAGCAGTTTGTCATTTAGCCCTGAACAGTCTGCCATCAGAGGGTGTTTAACATAATCGTCCAGAAACATAATTGCAATTTTTTCAATGGTAAACAGTCACTAATTAATCCATTTAGATAAATGACATTTTCATCAATATTGTAAACAGAGACATGACATAAATTTACCGATACGTCGTAGAACTACAAACTGTATTTACAACCGTACAGCTTTTAAAATTCGGCCTACAATATAGAGATACAGGGTAGTCAGCTCTTCGTGGTAAAAAATGTATTTTGGTGACAGTACATCTAAAGTGGAGTAGAATACTGAAAACCTCATGGATTTACTTCAATCCGTTCGAAAGTTACAGTTACTATTTAATCCATTTAGAAAAATGACATTTTCATCAATATTGTAAACATAGACATGACATAAATTTACCGATACGTCGTAGAACTACAAACTAATTTTACAACCGTACAACTTTTAAAATTCGGTCTACATATAATATATACACAGGATAGTGAGCTCATAGTGGTAATTTATTTATTTTTTTATTTTTTGGTGACAGTTCTTGTAAAGTGGAGTAGAACACTGAAAACCTCATGGATTTATCTCAATCCTTTCAAAAGTCATGTTTTTTTAAGTTTTTATTCAAGAAAAACTCCTTTCTTTACATAAAACCTGATTTTCACCACTCTAACGTAATTTTTACCAACTTATGACCCCATTTTTAGTTTTAGCGCAGATTTTCCTTTCAGGTTAGCCCACTTTTGTTCTAAAACTGGCCAGCCTGCGTACGAAATAACTGTACAGACATCATGAAATTTGCGATATGGTAATTTTGGATCAACTTATTTAAACCGTCAATTTTTAAAAAGCTAAAACTTCAACATTTTATGAACTTTCCAACGGTCTACTCCAAACCTCGATTATTTTGATTTTTCGGGGCAATTTCGGAAATGATATAAAGTTGGAAATTGGGAAAGCGTGGTCCTGGACGTATCCTGGCAATTAAACGCATGGCCCAAATAAATTAGTTGATCGGACATAGAAATTAATAATTAGCAAATAAATTCGGAAATAATTTATTAATAAAGAAAGTAACTGTTCTTCAGAATAAAAATTAACACATTTTAAAATAACAAACTTCTTACGTTTGATAAAACAGAATGTGAGAGAAACATAAAAAAATCAAAGTAATTCAGGTTTCGAATGGACGGTTGAAAAGTTAACAAAATGTTTAAGTTTTTTGTCGGTTTGACAATTTTTAGAAGAAAAGTGGACTAATTTAAAAAGAAATTCGGTGCTAAATCTAAAAATGGGGT